TTGTACCGGTGAATATATTGGATAATTACGTATAAATAAACTATCATTATGCCCACACATGCATATAATAATCTATGATCAACTTTGCAGTTTATTACTAAGGTGGTTGAAGATCTCCTTATTTTAAAGTGTGTATTTGATTTTCTTGTTTAGGAATAACTAGTTTGAGTCATCTTTGACAAACAATAATTTTTGGTTTGTTTTTACTTAAAAAGAAAAAAGGCTCAATTCCTGTGAGGTGGTGACTAAAATATGATAGTTTGCTGGATGTCATTAAAGTAACTCCCAAGGAAAGAAATACAAATTGGTATCTGGTGATGGTGTAAATCCCTATAGAAGGGACCCTGGAAGGATCACTATATTAAAGCCCTTCACAGCCAGTACCTCCAGTCGGTCCAGACTGTAACAATAAAGCATTAAATGTTAAAACCTCAAGGCAGTTTTTTTTTTGTCTCAAGTCCTTTATTACTAATTTTACATATGTAATTAATTGCTCAGAAAAAAAAAAGAAGGAAAGAAAAGAAACTGGCTACTGGCTTCTCTTTGTGACTTGTCAATACTATTAGACTCTTCTAGTTCTTTGTGTTACCTTAAAATCTTCAGTTTAGTAATTTTTCCATACCTAAACACTTTGGATTTGACATGCTTTATGACCTTTATCAGTAATTAGAATACAAATCCAATAAATAAAATACAAAGCCTGGCCTTCAAAATCTGGGGGCCAAGAACTCTGCTCCAGAGCCTCTGTGACTCTTGGACATTGTCAATAAGATTTTCTCTGTGAATGTGTACATTCTGGGGAGAGGGTCCTTAGCTTCCCATTCAGATTTTCATAGGGCTCTGTGGACCCCTAAGTAGTCTCTTGGGAAGTTTATCTTAAATAAATGAAGTTTAACTTAAAATGAAGATTGTTTCTGAGACTAGGTTCTAGATAAACTCCACGGTGGAGAACAGGCCACAAGTTAGGAAAGCTAAGAGTATGGACAATGTATAAGTTTTCTAATTTCAAGGTTTCTTTAAGACCCCTCCAAAGTCCCACATCAAGCGATGGTATCACCATTTTCTGGGTCTCCCAGGCTCTAAATGCGGGCTTCACCCTCAAACTTCCCTCCTGTTTCAGTCCCTAAATCTTGACCAGGCTTCCCTTGAATCAATCCATGCCTTCTTTCCTCTACCTACCTTAGCCCAGAGTGTCACTGCCTCTCCTTTGAAATATAATTGCATCTAAACTGTCCTCTGATCTCTTATTTCTTATTGACGTTGTTGCCAACCCAACCACCTAAAATAGATTTCATTCTGTCCTGAAACAGAAACCTTTAATAGTGACTCTCTTACTCTACAGGGTAAAGTGCAGCCTCTTCTCTCTCTCTCTTTTTTTTTTTAACGTTTTATTTTACATTGGAGTATAGCCGATTAACAACGTTGTGATAGTTTCAGGTGCACAGCAAAGCGACTCAGCTATACACATACATGGATCCATTCTCCCCCAGACTCCCCTCCCATCCAGGCTGCCACATAACATTGAGCAGAGCTCCCTGTGCTATACCGTAGGTCCTTGTTGGTTATCCTTTTTAAATACAGCAGTGTGTACATGTCAATCCCAAACTCCGTAACTATCCCTTCCCTCCACCTTCCCCCCCGGTAACCGTAAGTTCATTCTCAAAGTCTGTGAGTTCATTTCTGTTTTGTAAATACATTCGTTTGTATCATTTCTTTTAGATTCTGCAAATAAGCTATATTATACGATATTTCTCTTCCTCTTACTTCACTCAGTATGACAATCTCTAGGTCCATCCATGTTACTGCAAATGGCATTATTTCATTCTTCTTTATGACTAATATTCCACTATATATATGGGCCACATCTTCTTTACTCATTCCTCTGTCGATGGACACTTAGGTTGCTTCCATGTCTTGGCTATTGCAAACCATGCTGCAATGAACATTGGGGTGCATGTATCCTTTTGGACTATGTTTTTTTTCTGGGTACACGCCCAGGAGTGGGATTGCAGGGTCATATGTTAGTTCTGTTTTTCATTTTTTTTGAAACAATAACTTTTTTTTAAATTAACTAATTAATTTATTTATGGCTGTGTTGGGTCTTTGTTTCTGTGCGAGGGCTTTCTCTAGTTGCGGCAAACGGGGGCCACTCTTCAGCGCGGTGCGTGGGCCTCTCACTATTGTGGCCTCTCGTTGCAGAGCACAGGTTCCAGACGTGCGGGCTCAGTAGTTGTGGCTCACGGCCCCAGCTGCTACGTGGCATGTGGGAATCCTCCCAGGCCAGGGCTCGAACCCGTGTCCCCAGCATTGGCAGGCAGATTCTCAACCACTGCACCACCGGGGAAGCCCTGTGCTTAGTTTTCTAAGGAACCTCCATACTGTTCTCAGACAGCCTCTTCTCTTGGTCTTCAGGGCCCTTCCACAAGCTGAGTTCGTTTTCACTGCTCCCTATTTAAGTACACTTTGTCCATCACCCCCATCATGCCCTCATCTTGTCCTGAAATTTCCCCAGCCTTAGATACCCCTCCTCTGCCTCTGGCCTGTCCAGATCTTTCAGGGTCATTTCAGATCCTCATGAAGACACCATCCAGCCCATCTAAGTTGACTTCCTCTTTCAAGGCCTGGGAACATTTTTCTGTGTTTCTCATGCTGACCCTTCATCATATGCATTTTTATCTGACTGTCGGTCTCTGCTAACCACATACCCCGAGAAGGCAGGGATTGCTCTGGTCCTGAGCGTGTGCCATGGGACAGGCCTGTGCTAGATGAACGGAGACATGGTTTCTACTCTGAAGAGGTCATATTCCTGTGCAGGAGACAAGTAACTCCCTGGTTTCAGGGTACTGTGATGCATGCGTGGAGGATGGACCTCTAAATCAGATGGAGGCAGTGTCAGGGGAGGCTTCCTGAGGGGGTAACTCCTCAGCAGATGTTACCCAGGTAAGCAGAATGGGGGGGGAGGGGCACATCGGGGTGTAGGGACAGGTGTCTGGCCGGGAAGGGGGTGTAAGTCAGCCTGGGCCATTCAAGGAACTCCTGGTAAGTGCTTATAACCTCTAAAAGGTCTCATGCGGGAACGGCAGGAGACACAGCTGCGGATCATGAAAGCCCTTGTGTGCTAAGTTCAAGAATTTGAACTGTGTCCTGAAGGAAATCCTTTGGACCCTAAATTGATCATTAATAACAGAAAATGGTCTCTTCCCTCAAGGAGCTTATAACCTAGTGTAAATATACTCAGCTGCAAGGTGGAAGGACATGCTAAGTCCCCATCACTTCAGTAATAGCAAATATTACGCCTTCTTCATCTTGAAATGTGAGACTCAATTTCAACAGTGTATAAATGATCTTATGACATAATTCCACTGCCACCCCCTCCCCGTTTCTTACTTCCACTGTAAGCTATCCTTTTTTTAAATTGAAGTATAGTTGATTTACAATGTTGTCTTAATTACTGCTGTACAGCAGTGATTCAGTTATACATATATACATTCTTCTTTTTATACTTTTTTAAAATATTCTTTTCCATCATGGTTTATCATAGGATATTGAATATAGTTCTCCGTGTCACTGTAAGCTACCCTTAAGTGTAGGTGGCAAGTTTGGAATTTTGAGAAGCATCAGAAAGGCCCCTACCTAAGAACATTTTTGGGGGGTGGCTACCTGTCATTCTGCCTGGAATTCCACGATAAGTGCAATATTGTGTCTCCTTCCTGAGGGGTCCTAACGAGACAGTAGAGGATATTTTATTATCAACCATAATTTGATAAATAATTGTCAGCCAGCATTTGCCAAGGCATTCCCTAGGAGACACCCTAGTGAGACAGTCAACTATTCCTTCTTCTAGGTCTCGAAATTCTATCCCTGGTAAGAACAACCCAGAGAAAAAGCACCTACCACATGACCTCAATCTTGGCAGAAATGAATTACATCTTCATGCTATCACATTATCATATGGTTCTCTATCTTTATAGAAACTCGTATGTATACAGTGATATACATGTCAATTATTTCTCAATAAAATCAGAAAAAAAGAGTCATATGCAAATCATCTGCTTGAAAAATATTTGTGTCTTCTGTGAGACGAGTTGAAAATACGTCACTTGAGACGTTTTAACAGGAACCCATACAAACAATTTCTGCTTGAGTTTAATTTCAGAAAAAAATCTGCCAGCAATCTAAAGAAAACGTTAAGGCTTTGTGTAGATTCAAGTCCTTGATCCCAAAGCTGTAACACAGCTTAATTCAGCAAATAGTTTCTTGGTATAACGGTGCCTCCACATACTTTTGACTCTGAGATGTCTCCTCTTGCATGTTTGCACCTGCATTTGCTTCTCAAATGCTTTTGGCCGCAGATATGGCAAAATTGAATAACTACATTTGCTTTTTGGTGGTATCAGATTTTCTGAGAGAAACCAATGGTATTTATTCATTCACCTGTCAATGGGCAATTCAGTGTTTTTTGTTTGTTTGTTTTTGCCATTACAATGTCTGCTGTTGATGAACAATGTTGGGCAGGTCTCCTGAAGCATATATGCACACTTCCCCCGCATATTCGGTAGGACTCTATAGCAATCCACCGGCTCCCAGTTCTGCAGCAGTGTCGCTCGTGGATTCACTGCGTTGGGCACCGAATACTATTAGGAGGACGTTGTCTTCCTCTATCCTAGAAACGTATCAGTGTCGTACTCCTATTTGATTAAAAATCTCGGAGTTGTAGTTTTAAAATGAATCCCCGTACAGGAAAACAAGCTTCCTCGTCCCTGGGTGGGCTCGAACCACCAACCTTTCGGTTAACAGCCGAACGCGCTAACCGATTGCGCCACAGAGACCCGGTTGCTGGGACTGCGCTGCGGTGTGTACAGATTTCCGCGGCCGCGGCGGCTCTCTCGCCGACCTGGGCGTAGCCGCGCTGGCACCTCGGAGGAGCACGCCGAGGAGGCGGCGGGAGGAGCCGGGCTGCGGGCGGAAGCTCGGGCGGAGCCGCGGGGCTCCTCGGGGCCGGCGCGCGTCGCGCGGGCCCCGCCCCCGACGTGAGAGCCGGCCCCGCCCCGGGCTCCGGGGGCCCGTAGGGGACCCTCCCCTTCCTTGTGCGCGCTGGAACGGTTGTCCCGGGCGGCCGCGCGCAGTGACAGTGAGCGTGACGACGACCCGGCCGACTGGGTGCCCGGCCGCGGAAGCTGGAAGGGGTGAGGTCGCGCGTGCTCTCCTGCCGGACCACACGCGCTCGAGCTGTGCGAGAAGCCCAGAGGGCTGTGCGGGCCTGGAGGATGGAGCCACATCCCGGAGCCCCCCCAGCTTTAGGGCAGTGGTCTCAGCCTTTGCGTGGTTGTGTTATTGCCCCTCTCCCTCTCCTTTGGATATTTCCCCCCTAATCACCAACCCCCATAAAATTTTGGTACCATAGACACACCGCGTATGTGTGAATTTGCCCTGTGCACTTCTGTGCTAGGTGCATAGAAAGAATAAGATTTTTTCACCTCAGAGAGACAATTTTTGCCCCCTTGGCGAGGATAGGGCCAGCGTTGAGAATGCCTGGTTTGGGACATCAGAAGAGCCCTATGGCAGTTAAGATATGCCTTTAAGTTTGAAATGGCCTCTGCAGGGTCCCCCCCTCCGCGTTCCCTGACTTCTGCACTGAGGCCTTTGAGATCTGGAATGACCCGTCTCCCCAAAGGTGGGGAGTGGGGGCCTTAGCATTAGTGCCACACCCTTAGAACTTCCTGGCTTTCAGTTTACTTTTGCGAAGCCAGATCTCTTGAGCTCCTTTGGGATCGCTCCCCTTGTCTTCTCCGCCCACAGAATAGGAAATTCACCCCAGCTCTCCACGTGCTAAATCCAGTCCTGTGTGTTCCCTGTTTCCGTTCAATTTACCTGTGAGGGACCCTCCTCCACCTTCTTCTCCTTCCCGCACCCCTTCCTGTCCCCTTCCTCCTGGTTCTTTTCTCATCATTTTAACCTTTTTTTTTTTTTTTTTTTTTTAAGCGCACAGTTCAGGGGCATTAAGTACATCCACACTGCTCTGCAGCCATCACCACCATCCATCTCCAAAACGTTTTCATCCTCCCAACCTGAAACTCTGCATCCGTTAAACATTACTTCCTCCTTTCCACATCCACCCCATCCCCCCGACCTGGCAACCACCGTTCTACTTTCTTTCTCTATGAGCTTGATGACTCTCGGGACCTCATGTAGTGGAATTGTACAGTAGTTGTCCTATCTTGTTTCACTTAGCATGTCTTCAAAGTTCGTCCACATTGTTGCATGTGTCAGAATTGCATCCCTTTTTAAGGCTGAATCATATTCCATTGTGTGTATGCACCACATTTTCTTTACCCCTTTATCAGTTGATGGACACTTGGGTGGCTTCCACATTTTGGTTATTGTGAATAATGCTGCAGTGAATATGGATGTGTAAATATCTCTTTGAGACCTTACTCTCAGTTCTTTTGGGTACATTTCCAGAAATACAACTGATGAATCATATGGTAATTCTGTTTTTAATTTTTCATACCACTTTCCACAGCAGCTGCACCGTTTCACATTCCCACCAACAGTGCGCAAAGGTTTCTATTTCTCCACATCCTGCCAACACTTGCTATTTTCTTTCCCTCTTCCCTTCTTCCTTCTTTACTTCTGCCCTCCCTCCCTCCCTTCTCTTTCTCTCTTCTTTCCTTCCTTCCCCCTCCCTCCCTCCCTCCCCCCTCCCCCCTCCCCCCTCCCTCCCTCCCTTCCCCTCCCTCCCTCCCTTCCTTCCTTCCTTCCTTCCTTCCTTCCTTCCTTCCTTCCTTCCTTCTTGTCTGTAATAGCCATCCTGATGCATGTGAAGTGTTAACCTCATTATGGTTAACATTTCCCTATGGTTTGCATTTCCCTAGTGATTACTGCTGTTGAACATATTTTTTTTAATTTCTTTTGGATCTGGGTTCTCCGACCCTTCTACTTGCTTCCTCCTAGCAAGAGCCAGCTCTGCTTCACTGAGGAGAAAGCTGAGTGATGGAGGCCAGCTTCTGATAAAGGGGGGAAGGGAAAGAGCTAAGTGGAGCTGCAGAGTTGAGCCTGTGCCGTTCAAGGAGAGGGGATGAAGGAGGAATCTTCTGAGTAGGACTATCTAGAGATCCTGTTGTCAGGAGGTTCTTGCCCGTCTGTGCTGGGCAACTTTTGGAGTCAGTTATGTTTAATCTGGTTTTGTGGAGTTATTTATGCACGTGGTGCTTATGAGTGGCGAACAGGTGAAGAAGGAATTGATGACCTCCTTGGAATTCCTTGGAGGAATTCCACCTTGGAATTCCTGGAACAGATAAGGTTTTCCAAACTGCACCTTTAAAAGTTAGCTTAGGGCTTCCCTGGTGGCGCAGTGGTTGAGAGTCCGCCTGCCGAGGGAAGGGTGTCCCCCCCGGTGCGGGAAGATCCCACATGCCGCGGAGCGGCTGGGCCCGTGAGCCATGGCCACTGAGCCTGCGCGTCTGGAGCCTGTGCTCCGCAACGGGAGAGGCCACAGCAATGAGACGCCCGCGTACCGCAAAAAAAAAAAAAAAAAAAAAAAAGTTAGCTTAAATTTATACTAATTTAATGGAATTTTTCAATTGCATTTTCAGTTTCTTCTTAAGGACTGTGGGAAATTCTTTTTTTTTTTTTTGGCCATGTGGACTGCAAGATCTTAGTTCCCCCATCAGGGATTGAACCCATCCCCCCTGCAGTGGAAGGGCAGAGTCCTAACCGCTAGACTGCCAGGGAATTCCCAGGATTGTGGGAAATTCTAATTTAAGTGTTTAAATGATGACCTCTCTCTCTCCCTCTTTCTCTTTCTTCTTGTGATTCCTCTTAAAAACACAGTGATATCTTTTAGATGTATAAGAAATAGAACCTTATCTTTCTATCACTCCATTCAACTTCTGTTTTGATTTCCTGTTCTGCTGCTGCCCCAAATGCAATCTCTGTCAATTCAGGATTCCCTCTGTCCCCTTCCCTGGAGTTGTTTCCAAGTGCTGAAGCTTTGGAGGGTGGCCACTCATCTGGTCCTTGAGTCACATGTGCACACAGTTTGCTGAAGAGGTAGTTTTGCTCCTATTGCAGGTCCCATTCCTTTCCCCACTGAGGGAAAGGAATCTCTTGTGAAATTGGCTGTTGCATCCGTCATTCCATAAAGTCATTCCTGGCGCAGTCTTCTCTACTTATGGGACCTGTTATGGACTGAATGTTCGTATCCCCTCAAAATTCACATGTTGAAATCTGTTCGCCAATGTGATGGTGTTTGGAGGTGGGGCCTTTGGGAGGTATTTGGGCATGGGATTAGTGCCCTTTTAAGAAGAGGCTGGAGAGCTAGCTCCATCTTTTTCCTCCACATTAGGACAGAACACGAGGTCAGCAGTCTGCAACACGGAAGAGGCTCTCGCCGAAGCCTGACCCTGCTGGCACCCTGATGTAGGACTTCCAGCCTCCAGAACTGTGAGAAATAAATTTCTGTTATCTATGAGTCACCCAGTTTATGGTACTTTGGTATAGTAGCCTGAGCTAAGACCCCAAACTTTCCTCTTCTCATCAACCCCACCTGGACACCCCCATTTCTCAAGCCCCAGATGGTGAGGTATACAAGTGGTTGCAAAAACAAATTTTTTTTATAAACTTATTTATTTATTTTTGGCTGCATTGGGTCTTCGTTACTGCTCACGGGCTTTCTCTAGTTACAGCGAGTGGGGGCTACTCTTCTTTGCAGTGCGTGGGCTTCTCATTGTGGTGGTTTCTCTGGTTGCGGAGCACGGGCTCTAAGCAGGCGGCCTTTAGTAGTTGTGGCACGCGGGCTCAGTTGCTCCGTGGCATGTGGGATCTTCCCGGACCAGGGCTTGAACCTCTGTCCCCTGCATTGGCAGGCGGATTCTTAATCACTGCGCCACTGGGAAAGTCAGGCTGTAAAATTTTAAGAGGCACCTGTGTGGAAGGGAGAAAAAGAAATAAACACTGAGTGTGCTTGAGTCCCAGCTGAAAGTCTAAGGGTGTCTTTTTAGTCATACTTGTTTGAAAATATTATCAAATTTTCTCTGTTAGGCTGAGCTCTGGGGTCTCTCTTGCTCCATATTCATGTGGGTACAGTGCTTTTCTGAAAGGAACATGGCATTAATGGACCAATTATGTTTAAGTAATTGTAGGTCCTTCTCAATTATAGGTCATTCCAGGAACCAGATGATTGTGTCCACTGAAATGACACCCTCAACTAGAAGCTCCCGCTAAAATGTAGGCCCTCCAGGGACAGAGATTTTAGTCAGCTTTGTTCCCTGCTGAATCCCCAGCACCTACCACAGTGCTCAGCACATAGAAGGCACTCAGTAACTCCATGCTGAATAGTTGAGTAGAGTAAAACATAAACCGTAAAGGAAACTGGGAAAAAATAAAGTGTGGTGGAAAAATTAAATTCCTAATATATAAAGTGCATCTATCAATTAATATGGAAAAGTACCTCTTTACAACTCAACTAAAAAAAATCAGACAAACAAAAATGGGGACATGAACAGAAGATTCCCAAAAGAAGAAATACCCACGACCAATATAATCATAAAAGTTTAACCTCACGAGTTATCGAAATCAAAATGAAATGAAGTAAAAAGCTTCCTCTTCTCAAATAGCAAAGAAGAAAAAGAGATACTACTAAAATTCTATCAGTGGCATAGTTACAGGTCATTGTCACACAGGACTGATGAGGGTAAACCTGGCTTATTATTTCTGGATAGCAGTTTGGTAACACGAACATTAAATGATGTTCATTCTAGAAATTCGATGTTAGAAATCTCTCCTAAGAGAGGGACCAGGGATGTGGCCCAAGTTTTAAGTATATCATCACAGTATTATTTATAATAGTGATAAATAGGAAACAACTTAAATATCCAGCAACAGGGGAAAATGATAAATTGTGGTATATTTAGAAAATAGAGTATTAAAATATAGACATCAAGAATAATAGTTTAAAACATATAGTCAGGATAAAGTGTTAAGTAAAAAAAGGTAGGCTGCAGAACACTATAATTCTAAAAATAGTATTTTCAAAGAATATTTGACAACAGGGTTATGATGAAATGTTAAGTTAAAAGGTCAGATGGAGAACTGTGCCATCATGATAGCTCATAGCTGCATCTTCTTTCCGTGTATCCCATGTTATTACACACTTTATACATAACGTCTCACTTAAGCCCATAACAAGCCTGTGGGGCAGATACCATCCATATTACTCTTATTCTAATTTGGCGGGTGGGGGAATGGGAGTAGAGACGGAGCATCTGTTCAGGTTGCAGAGCCTGTGAGTGTGCGGCCGGGCTCCACACCTAGAGTCAGGCTCCAGCAGCTACGCTTGTAACCTTGACCCACACAGCCTCTCACATTGCATATGAGCACAAATTGTGTGTGTGTCTACACATGAGTAATGCGTATGGTTACCTCTGAGTGGTGATTATAATTTTCTTCCTTCCCCCTTTCCACTAGTTTCTCAAGCATCTGCAGCATGCTGTCCTTGTAAGGGGCAAGCAATGAAAGGCAGCAGAAGCAGTTTCCCTAAATTGCAGGTAGAGGGTGGTAGGTGGTTAGGCTCCGCCGATCTTCTCTGTCTGGGGGCAGAGGAGTGCCAGTTTGTGAGGTGGGAACTCAGGGCAGTCCCGTGCCTGCACACGTGGGTCCCTGTCAAGCATGGTGTACCCGTCACGCTGCTTTCCCTTCTCCAACTCTTTTACCCGCCTGAGAAAAGGTGTCTGAGGGACATGGAGACCACTCCTAAGGGGAATTTTATGATGTGCTACTCTTCAGTAATAAATGTGCTTTCATTTAAGAACTGGTATCTGGGCTTCCCTGGTGGCACAGTGGTTAAGAGTCCGCCTGCCAGTGCAGGGGACACGGGTTCAAGCCCTGGTCCGGGAAGATCCCATATGCTGCGGAGCAACTAAGCCCATGTGCCACAACTACTGAGCCTGCGCTCTAGAGTCCGCGAGCCACAGCTGCTGGGCCCATGAGCCACAACTGCTGAAGCCCACGCGCCTGGATCCTGTGCTCCGCAACGAGAGGCCACTGCAATGAGAGGCCCGCACGCCACAATGAAGAGTAGCCCCCGCTCACCTCAACTTGAGAGAGCCCGCGCACAGCAGCAGGGACCCAACACAGCCAAAAATAAATTAATTAAATAAATAATTTTTTTAAAAAAAGAACTGGTATCTGAGATTTTAGGTGACTTTTTAAAATTTTTTTTAAATTTATTTATTTATATTTTTTATTTTTGGCTGCGTTGGGTCTTCGTTGCTGCGCGCGGGCTCTCTCTAGTTGCGGCGAGCGGGGGCTACTCTTCGTTGCGATGCGCGGGCTTCTCATTGCGGTGGCTTTTCTCGTTGCGGAGCAAGGGCTCTAGGCGCACGGGCTTCAGGAGTTGCAGCATGCGGGCTCAGTAGCTGTGGCTCGCGGGCTCTAGAGCACAGGCTCAGTAGTTGTGGTGCACAGGCTTAGTTGCTCCGCGGCACGTGGGATCTTCCTGGGCCAGGGCTTGAACCCGTGTCCCCTGCATTGGCAGGCGGATTCTTAACCACTGTGCCACCAGGGAAGCCCCATGATTGAGTTTTTGAAGAAAGAAGTTCTACAACTCTCCTTACATAACAGATGCTCAATAGAATTTTTGATGCTGTAGGCTGTTCTAGGTGCTCTGTTCTACTGCTGTAGCCCTCACTAACAAGGCTTACTTTCTGCTTTCTAATCTAAATATTGCTATATTTAAAAATCCTGTTTCTCAACTGAATCTTTTGTGAAGAATAATAGTTATTCTCGCTGGTGTGTTACCAAAGGCATGCTTCACCTTGGCCTAATTAGGATAAATGATAGCACCCCCTTTTATATTTAAGTCCAATTTTGCAATAAAAAATTGCTTATATGAGCATGGGGCTTATACAAAATAAAAATTGAATTTGTGCAATTTTCTGGAGACCAACAAACTAGAAATAATTCATTTATTCAGCACATATTTACTGAATCATTACTCTGTTCCCCAAAGAAGACAGAACAATGTCCCCGGGGTAAGAAATGATTTCATAAACACACCATAATAAGTGTAAACGTGAAATAAAGGGTTGATGTATTTGATTATATTTAAAATGTAGTAAAACTTTTGTTAAACGAATAAGCAAAAAATAAATTTAAAAGACAAAACCATAGACTGAGTGAGGAATTTGTAATGCACGTAACCAGCAAAGCCTTAGCATGCAGAATTTATAAAGAATGCCTACCAATTAGCGGAAGACAAACAACAAAACAGAAAAAAAGGCAAAACATTAATGGAGAGGAAATCCATATTGTCAATACACTCATGAGAAGACACTACACTCGTCTAATAATCTGGGAAACATAGAATCATAATGAGATGTTATTTCACACCCAGCAGATTGGCAGAATTGAGGAAGCCTGACAAACTCAGTTGGTGCTGTTTAGAGCATTTGACCCTCACTTTCATCTGCTGTGGATGGAAATCAGGACACATGCCCTGGAGAACGATTTGTCAGTATCCTGGTGACATTGGAGAGACTCATTCCCTCCAATGCACGGGTTTCGCCTTGAGATATACATAGACAAGGATATGTACGAGATGGTTCGATCCAGTATTGTTCACAGTAGTGAAATATTTTCTTTATTTTTTATTTAAATATTTTTATAAGTCCTAGGTGTACAGCATTACAGTTCAACATCTATATACACTTCAGAGTGATAACAAGACAAGTCTAGTTACCATCCACCACCATGCACTCGGTCCCCTTCAACCATTTTCCCACCCCATAACTCCTTTCCCCCCGGTAACCCCAAATCTATGGGGTTTATTTTTATTTTATTTCATTTGTTCATTTTCTTTTAGATTCTACATATGAGTGGAATCCACATATGAGAGTTTATAAGGTATTTATCTTCTCCATCTGACTTATTTCACTTAGTATTGTGCCGTCAAGGTCCATCTGTATTATCACAAATGGCAGTATTTCTTTTTTTTGGCCGAGTAGTATTCCACTGTATTGTATATGTGTGTGTATGTGTGTGTGTGTACACACGTATATATATATATATATATATATATATATATATATATATATATATATCTCAAATCGTCTTTATCCATTCGTCCATCAGTGGACACTTAGGTTGTTTCTATAACTTGACTATTGTGAATAATGCAGTAATGAACATAGGGGTGCATGTATCTTTTCAAATCAGTGTTTTCGTGTTCTTTGAATAAATACTCAGAAGTGGAATATCTGGATCACATGGTAGTTCTATTTTTAATTTTTTGAGAAATCTCCATAGTGTTTTCCACAGTGGCTGCACCAATTTACATTCCCACCAACAGTGCACGAGGATTCCCTTTTCTCCACACCCTCTCCAGCATTTGTTATTCCTTGTCTCTTTGATAACAGTCATTCTAACAGGTGTGAGGTGATATCTCACTGTGGTTTTGATTTACATTTCCCTGATAATTAGCGTTGTTGGACATCTTTTCATGTGCCTGTTGGCCATCTATATGCCTGCTTTGGAAAAATGTCTATTCAGAAGACCCTGTGTCCATTTTTCAATTGGGTTGTTTGTTTTTTGTTGTTGTTGAGTTGTCATAATAGAGTGAAGCATTTGAAATGACTCAACTTCATCAAAAGGTTGGTGGATAAATAAACATGGTATATTTAAACATTGCAATACTATATAGCAGTTCTAATAATGAATTGGGTCTTTACTTACCAGTGTGTATAAATTTTCTAATGTGATGTTGCACAAAGGATAGGTACAGTACGTTACCATTTCTATAAAAGTAGTCAATAGACAAAGCAATGCTATGTATTATTTATGGATACATGTACATGCGGTCATAATGTGAAACATGCATAGGAATGATAAAAACCAAATTCAGGGAAGCAGATACCTCTGAAGAGGGAAACAGGAGAGTAGGGTCATGGAGACAGAAGGCTCTCCCATCGTCTGCCACCTTTTGTTCCTGGAAAAAAACTGAAGGAGGTATAGTGAAATCTTAGGATTTGATAGTGTTCCAGGGTGGGTACACAGATTTTTGTTATTTTTAATTTTTTTTACTGTGGAAAAAAACCACATAAAAAATTTACCATCTGAACCATTTCTAAGTATACAGTTCAGTAGTGTTAAGTATATTCTCATTGTTGTGTGAAGAGCTCCAGAACTTTTTCATCTTGCAAAACAGAAACTCTATAGACATCAAACAACAACTCTTTATTCCCTGTCCTCCCAGCCCCTGGCAACCACCACTCTGCTTTCTGTTTATATGAATTTGCTTCCGACTCTTCGTATGAGTGGAATCATAACAGTATTTGTCCTTCTGTGACTGTCTTCTTTCACTTAGCATAATGTCCTCAAGATTCATCCATGTTGTAGCATATGTCAGAATTTCCTTCTTTTTTAAGGCTGCATTATATGTATATAATATGTATATATGTATGTACATGTGACTATATATCTGTCTAGACCACATTTTCTCTACCCATTCATCTGTCAATGGATATTTGGGTTACTTCCACCTCTTGGTCGTTGTGAATAATGCTGCAATGAATAATTTGCAATGCGTGTGTAAATATCTCTTTGAGATCCTGCTTTGAATTCTTTTGGATATATACCCAGGAGTGGGATTGCTGGGTGTACAGTAATTTTATTTTTAATTTTTTGTGGAAGCTCCTTACTGCTTTCCATAATGGCCGTTTTCCATTCCCACCAACAATGCGCAGGGGTTCCAATTTCTTTACATCTCGGCAAACGCTTGTTAGCTTTTGTTCTTTTGATAGTGACCATCCTAATGAGTGTGAGGTGATACCTCACTGTGATTTTTATTTGCATTTCTCTGATAATTAATGATGTTGAGCATCTTTTCAGATGCGTTTTGGCCATTTGTATATCTTCTTGGGAGAACTGTCTCTTCAAGTCCTTTGCCCCCTTTTTAAATGTGTTACTTTTGTTGTTGCTGTGGTTGAGTTGTACGAGTTCCTTATAAATTCTGGACGTTAACCCTTTATCAGATATATGATTTGCAAATATTTTCTCCCGTTCTGTAGCTTGTTATTATTGTAACTGATTTTTGTGTTTGAAATATTTCATAACAATATTTTAAACGGCAGGTGAGAATTCCTTATCAAAACCATCGAAGACACGGTTGTTGCAGATATAATGCCTTATTCTAATTCTGTCTTTCTTTCTTGGGAGTTTCATGTTTGACTTGATCGTACAAGTTGAGAGTTTGTATGAGTTTGTATGTAAATGGGAAGATTTAAAATACTACAAGATGTAAATTTTCTTAAAATTAATCCATACATTCAGTGCTATTAGGGGAAATATCTATGTGTAGTATAATATATATACACGTACATATACGTGTATTTGTACAAGAAGATCTTGAAAGAGACACACTAAACCACTTAATAGCTACCTTTGGGGAGTGGGGATGCATCAGGCTTTCGACCGTTGCCAAGAGTCCAGGAAGGGCCATGATTTGTGCTGCGCATTGCTCTCTGGTAGTGGAAGAGAGTTCCTCAGGCGAGTGGGTGAAACCGGCCTGATGCTGGATGGTCTCACTGGGGCCTGTTGCTCTAGCCCGGGTTTGCATTCTTTGGGAAACATAATCTGCTACAAGTCTCTCCCACTTGGGGGAAGCGCAAGTTCCCAGACATTTGCCTCTCTTGGTTGGGGCCTCTCGAGTTCAATGATAAAATTGAGGTGATGGTTTAAGTGATACATACGAGGAACATGGCAGAAAATGCTGAGGGTTGAGAGCTTACGTTGGGTGGGGAGGAGGGAGGAATGAAGAGGAGTTCTGGGGACGAGAAGGAGACAGAGTGGGAGATACAACAGCGTGAGTGGGGAGGACCTGTGTGCTCGGTGGGCTGGGGCTTTATGTGGGACTTACAAGGGCTCCAACAAAGAGTCCCAACCCTGACCGTGAGCTAAAGAAAATAGCATTTTAACACCTTTCATTTTGCAATGAATGGTTTACAGTCTCCAAGGCCTTTTAACATACATTTCTTATAACAGCCATGCGAAAGCAATGAGGCAAAAAAAAAGTCAGTGCCCATTATGTGAATTTAACTGTAATGATAGAATGTAGGGCTCGTCTGCCAGTATTGTAATGGCCCAGTATTTTTTCAGACAGTATTTGGGGCACTAGCTTACAGGCAACAGAGCAGTGGTTAAGGTTGTACCCTTGCTAGCAGGCTATTCAAATTCTATCACCACTTACTACCCTGGGCACCAGGGCATGTTTCTTTACTTCTCTGCCTTAGTTTTCTCATCTGTAAAATGGGGATGATGATAAAAAAACACCTAGACCTTAGAATTGTTATGAGAATTAAAAGAAATAGGCAAGTAAAACTCTCAGCAGAGTCCTGGCATCCAGTAAGCATCAATAAGTGTTTGCTCTTATTGTTACAATTACTTGAAGTGGTCCCATCTTATAGCATCTTCTGGACACTTTCTGACCAGGTAGCTCCCGTCTCCTAGTAACTGACAAACGCTGCTGAGTCTTAATAAGCAGGTGTTTGATGCCTACGTTGTGACTGAATTTCCAAACCTCATTCCTCGAGACACAATTCTCCTATTTGATTTTTTCCATTTATTTTTTTTAACATCTTTATTGGAATATAATTGCTTTGCAATGTTGTGTTGGTTTCTGCTGTATAACAAAGTGAATCAGCTATACATATACATATATCCCCATATCCCCTCCCTCTTGCATCTCCCTCCCACCCTCCCTATCCCACCCCTCTTGGTGGTCACATCCATTTATTTTTGTTACAGTAGTGCATGTGCGTGACGACAGAGCAAATAATACAGGGCAGGTTATAGTGGAAAGTCATGGTCTCCCACCTTTCCTTCCCCGCTGTGGATTCACAACTCAGAGACAAGGTTCTTTCTCCCTTTCTCCCTCCCTCCCTTTCTTTCTTTTTTTTTTTTAAAAAACGTTTCTTTATTCACCTCTGCTTCTGGTTACGCTGATAACTCAAGACAATATATGTGTTGTCACCTGTACTGACCTAGTTAGAAGGCTTTGACATTAACTTTTAACATTTCAATATGAAGATTTACTTTGCAATGTCCCAGTCCACCATCCCCTTCCCAGTATTAATATTCATATTTGTGGTAGGCAGACTTTTAAAATTTATAAGCACTCTTTTGTGGTTCTCTGAATGTTCCATTTTTATAGCAACCTGTTATTGTTGCATGGGTACAGGCAGGCTGGGAGGTCTCATGGGTCCGCCTGCAGGGCTTTTCACTTAATGCCTGGCTCTCAGTATGGTATCACCAGCTGCAGCTGTGCCCGGCCCTGAAGTGGAGCCCCTCATTTGCCTGGAGAGCCCCAGTGGTCTGCCTGCATATGAAAGGAAAAGTGAGTGCCTGATGTGAGCTTCCTCGGCCGTTGTCTATTTTCAGGCAAAGTGTCTCCACCAATTAGGATTTCAGACTCAGAGCTCTGGGTAAGGTGGGCAAAAAGAGGGATGTCGGGCTGCAGGGGCCTCCAAATAAGGGCCCAAAGAGGCTGAATTTTGGGGTGAGCTCTCCTTGAATATTTTGTTCAGTATCTTTGGGTTTTGTTCTGTTCTGTGTGCCAGTAAATGCTGGCTCTCTGGGCAGCGGTGGGGAAGACGGTGTCTAAAAGCTAGTTGTCCATATGAGGCATTCACATAATCTCTCTCTTCCAGCCCACGTCCTGCTTCTGCCCTCTAACCCAGCTGCTGACTCCAAGCCCAGAAACATGCCAGGGTTCTGTTAGATAGATCAGCTGCCAGCATCTCTGCAACAACTACAGAAAATTCTAGACTGTGTTTTCTCTTCAGGCTTTGTCGGTCAACTTGCTTTATTGGTCTTGCATCTTCCAAAAATGTATAGATAATCTCTCTTATGTGGGAGTGGCAGAAACTACTAGTTGACCACCTAATATTCATATTATTGTGCTTCCTTACTAATAGAACCCCTGTATTGTTGAGAGTGGCAGCTTAGTAATACATCCCATGTCAATGGAAGTCATGGGAGAGACTGCCAAGAAAATTCTTAGAAGAGACAGACTCAGCTAGCTGTTCTTTCTGTTTATCTTTGCCCCTTCCTTCTCCTTCCTGTGTGGAATAGGGCTGTGATGCCTGGAGCTACAGCAGTCATCTTGGCACAATGTGGGAAAGGACAAGAAACTCTCAGAAACCTTAGCCCTGGCATTTCTGTATATTTCCAGATATTTGCTCCCCTATAGGAGTGTTAGATATTTTTGCCTGTTGCTTTGGGACTGTAGGAGGAGTATGCTTCCCTGCCTCATTGTCAGAGTTGGCCATGTGACTTGCTTTGGCCTATAAAATGTGAGTGGGAGAAACTTGAATGTTTCTACCAGCATGTTTCTACCAGCGTTTTTGTTCTCTTCCCTTTGCTATTAGGAAGGCATGTCCAGGATAGAGGCTGTTATTTCAGCCTGGATTCTGTGATGAGAAGACATCTAGAGGAGACCAGTAACATACAAAGTGAGTTAGAAATAAACCTTTGTTGCTGTAAGCTACAGAGATTTTAGGTTAGCACAGTATTGTCTAGTGAAAGTTGACTTATACAATATGTAATAGGATAAATAAATATGTGGAACAGGATGTTAAGTGTTGGTGTTTCAAAGCTGAGGGAAAAGGGTCAAATGTGCTCACACATTCTAAAGAGAGATGCTGGCTCAACCTGTCGCATTTACTTGATTCAGGGAAACTAGTTCTGAAACTCTCCATTACCGCTACAGTTTGGATCCTCTGGGGAACAGGCATTGAGTTATGAGTACAAGAGGTTTATCGTGGGACGATGGCTATAAAAGATGATGGAGGTTGCAGGAGTGGACGGGGAACCTCAGACTGTGATGGAGATCTGACAGAGCACTGGCCAGCCCAGTGGGGAGCCCTGGACCAAAGATGGCGCATTAGAGGAGCAGCACATGGGGCAGAAATGGCCAGGCCCTGTCCCCCTGATACGGCTCGCAAGTGACCCCTCTGCTGGGGAGTTTGTGTGTCTGTCCCTTCGAGTGGGTGGTCCCTCTCCAGATGACCTCCTACAACTCCAGTCGGTCCTGTTTCTGGCAGCAGGACAGCTCCTGCCTCTGTCTGCTTGGGTTTCTCGACTTCAGGCCGTCCTCTGGGCAGGGACCCTTTCAGGCTCACAGCAGCTGCCTTCCACTGCGCCTATTTGAGAAAACGCTGTGCATCTCTTTCTTATTTGTTAAGTTGTGGTTAAAACACACACACACACACACACACACACACAAACCAAAAAGAACCCCCAAAACCCACATACCATAAACTTCACCATCTTAACCTTTTTTTAAAAAAAAAAAAAAATAATATATTTATTTATTTTTGGCTGTGTTGGGTCTTTGTGGCTGTGTGTGGGCTTTCTCTAGTTGCGGTGAGCGGGGGCTACTCTTCGTTGTGGTGCGCGGGCTTCTCATTGCGGTGGCTTCTCTTGTTGTGGAGCACAGGCTCTAGGTGCGCGGGCTTCAGTAGTTGTGGCTCGCAGGCTCAGTAGTTGTGGCTCGCGGGCTCTAGAGCACAGGCTCAGTAGTTGTGGCGCACGGGCTTAGTTGCTCCACGGCATGTGGGACCTTCCCAGCCCAGGGCTCCATCCCAGGTCCCCTGCACTGGCGGGCAGATTCTTAACCACTCTTCCACCAGGGAAGCCCTTAACCATTTTTAAACGTACAGATTAGTAGAATTGTATGACACGCACGCCCGACATGTATATACGTAGAAGAAATCCTGGAAGGCTCCGTGCTGAGGTGATAATAGAGGTAATCAAGGGGTGATGATAGGTGTTTGTCCGTTTGTTTATTTACTGATTACATCTACTTTCCAATTTTACTATAATAAACATGTACAATTTCATTATCAGAAAGATAAACTGCAAACATTAGTTTTGTTTTTTTTTTTGCGGTACGCGGGCCTCTCACTGCTGTGGCCTCTCCCGTCGCAGAGCACAGGCTCCGGGCACACAGGCTCAGCGGCCATGGCTCACGGGCCCAGCCGCTCTGCGGCATGGGGGATCTTCCCGGACCGGGCCATGAACCCGTGTCCCCTGCGTCGGCAGGCGGACTCTGAACCACTGCGCCACCAGGGAAGCCCCAAACATTAGTTTTGATTGAAAAAACTGAGCCCAAGTCTTGCTTCCCAAAGCCACACCCTTCGGGCTGTCCCTGGCTGCTTTCCCTGGAACCATCCCACTGTGCAGGGGGTGTAGTCCACAGCCCGGATGCTGACCTCGGCCTGTGGGGCCTCCCTGGGCAGCCCCTGACTCTCTGCTCTTGGGTTTTGGGGCAAACGTCACTTCCAGGAGGAAAGGACGGCCGCCTTGCCTTGGACACGGGTGATGACTCACAGAGCGTGGCTGCTTTCACCCTGGAGGGCTCGACAAAAAACCTGGTACGGGACTTCCCTGGTGGTCCAGTGGTTAAGACTCTGCGCTTCCACTGCAGTGGGTGCGGGTTCGATCACTGGTCAGGGAACTAAGATCCTGCATGCCTCGCGGCCAGAAATTTAAAAAAAAAAAAGACCCCGGTAGGAGGAATGTAAATGAGATCAGGACTTATCTGACATTGGAGAGGATGCTGAGAGGACAGACGGTCAAAGTCTAGCTCAGGGAAGAGTCTCCTTTGGAGCAGAATGAGGACTGGCTCTTGGCAATGCAGTTGAGGCCAGACACAGGAGCAGAAGGAAACACACGGCACAGGGAGGTGGCAGGAGAGAGGGAGGTTACAGAGAGGGCAGCAGGAGAAGGGCTGGAATGACAGTCATTCCAGAATATAGAACAGAGGAGCCGCGTCAGGACGCCCCCATGCCAGGTTCAACTTTCACGCCCCAGATTAAAGGCCACGAGGATCTTTATACTTCCTGTTAGATGTCACCGGGTGGTGACCCAAAGTCCTGAACCGGATGACAGCACCCCTCCAGTGCTGTCTAAGCACACTCTTTTCCTGTAATCATTCCCACATAGCATTTTATCACCTTTCTTGATTAGTCTTAATATAATACACGTATGAGAATATCTCCCCTTTTGAAATATTTGCGTTTCTTTCACTGCTTCGGAGGCTGTGCATTATGTTGTGTGGTGATTTCCTCTGCCAGTAAACGTGTAGTCCTACCGTGAGCATGTTTTATTTGTGTAATAAACCAACATAGAAAATAAAGAATGCGCTGACTATGAATTAGACTTACTGATAGGGACCAGGATGACAGAGGTGAATGAGATGCGGTCCCTGTACTTGAGCAACTTGCAGTTTGGTTGGGAGACTGGGCATGCACGTTAAAAGGATTCAAGTAATAAAAGTGTTTATTAAGTGCTGGGTGAGGGCCACAGGACACAAATGCCGAAGGAGTTGCATGCAGGGAGAGAGCGCGACTAACACAGGTGATAAGAATAGATAAATCTACCGCATGCATTTAGAATCCACCCTTGTGTGGTGGGGTATGACTTTGGGGGTGGGGCACTGGCAGCGGCTTCTCAGGCTGGTTCCCAGGGAGGCAGAGGAAGATGAGGTCGTGGGCAGTGAAGGGGGAAATGGCCACCTTAGGCTGCTTCCTCTCCTTTACAAGCCCTTACGACGGGTCTGTTCAGTCAGCGTCCTTTTAGGAGCCACTCCAGGAGAAAGAAGGCAGGAAGGAAGCTTCCAGCAAAAAGATCCAAAGGGAAATGTGCTTTATATGCAGAGCATTGTTTTGCTGTCTTTCCAGATGGAGTGTCTCCTAAAAAAGCCCATTTCTCTGACAACGGCTCTAAAAGGAGGAACCGTCCTTCGCAACAGACGCATGCATCTCTCATTCCTCATCCACTGAGTGTCAGACCCTGTTCTAGGTGCCACCTGGCTTCTGTCTCTCAACAAGCGTGCCTAACTCTTCCCTGAAGTCTCAACCATGATTTCATTTTAAAAAAGGAGGCAATTGCCTCAACCTGGGTCCGCTGGCCTTTCAGAGATTCTAAATTCCCTTTTGCATGTCAGGCTGGGGTTAACGGCTCTTGCCGCCACTGAGAAATCCGAGGGCTCTCCTGCCAGTGCTGAGCAGACACTTTGAAGGCTCACTTCCTGTCTCCTGCGTGTGAGAGTGGCCACTGGAGGCCACGGGAGGGAGGAGGGAAACCTCAGAAGGGTCGGCCCCAAAGCAGCAGCCGCGTGGACCGTCCTGTCTGGCTGCTTCCCCAGTAAAACCCAGGCAGGGGGAGAAAAGCCAGCGTTTTGAGACGGAATGAGCAAAGGAGGGGAAACATTGAAAAGTGCATGAGCAGGGCCCCCGGGGAGGGAAGGGACGGGGGGGACAAGCAGGGGGGGAGAAGTGGCTCCAGAAACTGGGAAAGAGCCCGTCTTACTGGAAGAGAAGGATGTACTGAAGGAGAGCGAGAAGGAAACAGAAATCAGCCTGTCGGGTGGGCACTGGCAAGGACCACCTTTCTCATTCTACAGACGAGGAAACTGAGGCCCGGAGAGGGGAAGTGGTTTGCACAAGGGCAGGGCCTGGAAGGAATCATCTGCTCTCTCGCTCTCTCTTCCCTTGCTCACCTCCCCTTCTGTGGTGAGGCAGTACTGGCAGACAGGCTGCTTGGAAGCCCTACACGGACAGGCGTGGGGCAGCCGTAAAGCACAGGAGGCTCCTGGGTGAGGTTTGAGTCTTGATTCCAGGTCAGGAAAGGGAGATCTTTGAGATCTCTGCCCCCCTGCTGGCAACGCCCCTCAGAACTGTAGCTGGGGTCCCGGAGGATGTAAAGCTGGCCGTGAGCTGGGGTTGTGTGCAGAGCTGGGGACCCCCGCAGCTGTGAACGCAGGTGCTCTCCGTCAGCACTCTTTGAAGATACGCGCATCTTTTCTATTTCAGTAAAGATCTTGTGGAAAAACCCGCACAAAACGTTTGACCAATCTAATAATTAGCATCCTCACAGAGAGACCTCGGAGATAAGAGATGCAGGCCCCTGCCTTCTGCTCTGTTTCCACCTCCTCCGGGGACACTCTTCCTGTCTGCGGAGTTCATCTTGGCTTCGCATTGTTCCTGCTCACTGGTATTTTTAACTCTACCTTTCTAGTATTTTTATAGTACCTTTCTAGTACCTGAGCCGGCTCAGCCTGGATCTCAGTTATGTGGACCTCCGTCTGCTTCCTTCTCTGGATTGGACATTCTCCAAGGCCAGGAGGTCCCCGTCTCGTTCATACCTGTGCATCGCCCACCTCTGTCAGTGCACAAATATGGGATGCTTTGGAGTTTGAAACCAGCTGTCCAAGCTGGAACATTTGCCATGAGCTCTCCAAGAGTTCTGAAGGGTGGAAAGAAGAGGGATTTGGGTGCCGGAAATGGAAGGTTATTCTAAGAACGGGTGTGGCAGGAAAGACAAATATAGCTGGTGGAGTGGAGAGTGAGTGGGAGGAAAGAAAGTGGAAGTGGAAGAGAAGGGGCGGAGAGTGAGTGAGCAGAGAAGTAGGAAGGAAGCGGAGACACAGCCCACAGGGCAGTGCAGGCTCCAGGCTCAGCCCTGCCCGCCAGAGCTTGCTTGCTGTAGACGCCCAAAACCTCAGCCTCAGACCTTCCTGCCCTTTCTTTGTCTCTCATTCTAATGCTGGGTCATTGAAAAAGATCTTTGGCTTAATTTCCACCAATACTCTGATTTTGGACATTTGTCAATAAGAGGTCATGGCCGTGGCACGCCATGCCATCCTACTAAGAGGAAAATAAATACCTCAATATAAACAATTTTTATTTCTTGAAAGTTTTTTGTAGTATTACAAACTCCCATGATCGTTCTGGCTCTAACGTCGTTCTTGCCTCTTAGGGGTAAGGTTTGTAATTTGATGCAAAATAACCACGATGCATATGTCTGTACGTGTCTCGTTGCCTAGCCAGGCGTGTGGGTGATGAGTTTTCTTTTTTGTTTTTTCATCATTACATCTTCTCCTGCCCTGTGTTTCTGCTTCACATCCTTTAAATTTGCTGCTGTTTGACAACCACAGCCTGGCTGTGGTTTCCCAGTTTTTGGTAGGAATGAACTGCTCTTGGCTCTGTGATAGGGCCCTGGGCTGGCTTACTGGGAGACCATTGCTGTAACCTCTGGGCCAGAGGTGCCTGGGGTGTGAACTGCCACCACTTGCTCTTCCCTCGGCTTGAGCGCCATCAAGAAACCTAAAGATTTCCTTTGACGTTTTATAAAGTCACTGATCCTCATTTGTCAAAATGTGTCCCAAGGAAGTTTCCTTGAAAGTGAAACCAGTCCATAAGCTCATCTTCTCAGGAACCCACAGAAAGTGTGTGGCCACCGTCAGTGGCCCAGGTAGCTGCTCTCTCCTTCCCCATCGGATGTGCAGGTGAGTTGAGTTCTCCTAAAGATGACGCAGCTGCCTAGACACACAGTTCTCTGCGACCCCCTGGATGCTGGCGGGAAGCCTCACGGCCACGCCACCCCCTTTTCCGGGCCCCCCCAGCCCCCACCCCCGGTTGTCTGGCCGGCCATTCCTGTTCTCCAGCACCCTGTTTCAGAGGAGAGCTTCCCTCTTGGGCTGGGCTCCTCCTCCCTGGGGACAGTCAGGGGCTTCTGCATGTCCAGAAGGGTGCAGCTCGTGACCGAGACCCAGTCTGGGTCCCACCTCCTGGTAACAGGGAGGACATCACTTTCCTGGGCAAAGGCTTCCCGCTGGACCCTGAGTTCTCAAGATGTTGCAACTCTCCCTCCCAATCATTGTCGTGAAGACTGGACGGGGGCTCAGTGGCAAGCTCTCTCCCCGGTCCCCTGCCTTGGGCTGCTCCAGTGACCCTGGGGGGGAGTCTCTTCTCTCACAACCCATTGCCATGCTACCGTGTGGCCTGGACATTAATTCTGAGGGTGCTGTTGACTCTTCCAGGAACTGAAGTTGACTTTTTCCATGAAGGTGATTTCTGCAAGGAGGGGAACGGAGAGGACCAAGTTCCCTGAAATAAATCTTTGTGCTCAATTATTGGAAGGGAACTCGTTAAAGAAGAAATGTGGGCATGGAGGTTGTATTGAATTGTTGTGTGCTGCACTATGTGAGCCAGTATACGGAGGTGAACGGGCCACGTTGCCAAAAGTTCGTTTCCCTTCCATTCACCTTGTGGCTATGGAAATCCCCTTGTTCTTATGTCTGCTGGAAGGAGAGCCCGATATTCTCATCATTTGCAAAGAGGAGGGTGTTGTGGAGCATTTCTGTGGGCAGAAGGGTGAAGTAGTCAGAAAGCTCCAGGGATAATTTTCATAGGCTTTTCAAACTAGTAAACGTTGGTCTTATCTTTTTATGGGAAACAGGACATAGTCACTAAACAACTGGGACGTCAATAGAGGGACAATGAAAGCAAAGGGAGAAAGAGTCACCAAAGTGTCCACTCTTCTCCAAATCCCTCTGTTGGCTGCAGAGTCTGAAACGAGCGTTTCCTCTGTACACAGCCTCCTGCCCATCCTCCCTCTCGCTCCCTCCACCTGACTGATAAGGCTGTTGTGAGGATCCATCCCATAATATGTGAGGTGCTTAGAACAGTGCCTGGCACGTGATAAGTGCTCAGAAAATGTTAACTCTTCTTATTACTAATAATCTGACATATATTTCTTGAGCGGGGTAGTGGGTCCATGTCGTTCGTTTTATTAAGCTTTAAACTGTGCATATATCTTATAAATCCTTCTTATGTGTATCATATACTTCACATGCATTAAAATACACGCCTTAAAAATAAATGAAGATGGGGGACCCTGACGCCCAAGGAGACGGGAGGAACCCCCAAAGGAACTGGTAGGACGTGGGGGGCTGAGGGGGGAGGAGAAATGGAGGCCATACAGGATCGGGGCTCCTGAGGCCAGGGAGATCAGGAAAGGCAGGTGGGAGGGACCCTCTGGGAGGAGCGGAGGGCGATTGCCTAGCCCACTCGGGCCAGGGAGTCTGCTGAGCTCCCAGGCCAGTATCCCCCCCCCCTCCAAAGCCCCCTCCAGGCCGGCCGTGTGGGTGCTGGGGGCATAGGAGGGAGGCCAGGGAGATCAGAAGAGGCAGGAGGGAGGGGCGCTCCTGGAGGAGAGGGAGAGGAGCGCATTGGTGAGCCCCGCCCACTTGAGCCCAGGAAGCCTGCTGGGCTCCCAGGTGAGGTTCCCCCGCCCTCTGAGACCAGGGGTGGGGGCACGCCTGGGCCCCTTCTGTTCCTTGAGCCTTTTCCAGCCCTGTGGGTCCTGAGCATTGGCCCTGCCCACCGCCCAAACCTCGCGCTGCTTAGTCCCCGCCCTCCACAGCCAAGGCCTTTCCCCCTTTGTTTTCTTTCTTTTCCCTCCTCTGTTTTACTGTTGTAGTACGGACGTACCTTCCAGTTGTTGATTCATCTACATTTTTATTTCTATATTCTTTCTAACATATCTGTTAGTTTCCTAGTCTGGTTTTATTTTTTACTTTGTTATTGTTCTCTTTTTTCTTCTGCCACCCCATGCGGCTTGCGGGATCTTGGTTCCCGAGTCGGGGCTGGGGGTGAAGCTCCTGCAGTGGAGCTCTGAGTCCAAACCACTGGCCTAGCAGAAAACCTCAGATCCCAGGGAATATTCATCGGAGTGAGGTCTCCTGGAGGTCCTCATCTCAGCACCAAGACCCAGCTCTTCCCAGAAGAAGAAGAGAAAAAGAAAGGGTCTGAGAAAATATTTGAAGAGGTTATAGTCGAAAACTTCCCTAACATGGGAAAGGAAATAGTCATCCAAGTCCAGGAAGCACAGAGAGTCCCATACAGGATAAACCCTAGCAAAATCACACCAAGACACATATTAATCAAACTAACAAAAATTAACTCCTAAGAAAAAATATTAAAAGCAGCAAGGGAAAAACAAAAAATAACATGCAAAGGAATCCCCTTAAGGTTATCAGCTGATTATTCAGCAGAAATTCTGCAGGCCAGAAGGGAGTGGCAGGCTATACTTAAAGTGATGAAAGAGAAAAACCTACAACCAAGATTACTCTACCCAGTAAGGATCTCATTCAGATTCGAAGGAGAAGTCAAAAGCTTTTCAGACAAGCAAAAGTTAAGAGAATTCAGCACCACCAAACCAGCTTTACAACAAATGCTAAAGAAACTTCTCCAGGAGGGAAACACATGAGAAGAAAAAGACCCACAAAAACATCCAAAACAATTAAGAAAATGGTAATAGGAACATACATATCAATAATAACCTTGAATGTAAATGGATTAAATGCCCCAACCAAAAGACAGACTGGCTGAATGGATGCAAAAACAAGACCCATATATATGCTGTCTACAAGAGACCCACTTCAGGCCTAGGGACACATACAGACTGAAAGTGAAGGGATGGAAAAAGATATTCCATGCAAATGGAAATCATAAGAAAGCTGGAGTAGCAATACTCATATCAGATAAAAGAGATTTTAAAATAAAGACTGTTACAAGGGATAAGGAGGGACACTACATAATGATCAAAGGATTAATCCAAGAGGAAGATATAACAATTATAAATGTTTATGCACCCAACATAGGAGCACCTCAATGCATAAGGCAAATGCTAACAACCATAAAGGAGAAATTGACAGTAACATAATAGTAATAGGGAACTTTAACACCCCACTTTCACCAATGGACAGATCATCCAAACAGAAAAATAAATAAGGAAACACAAGCTTTAAATGACACAATAGACCAAATAGATCTAATTGATATTTATAGAACATTCCACCCAAAAGTGGCAGAATACACTTTCTTCTCAAGTGCACACGGAACATTCTCCAGGATAGATCACATCTTGGGTCACAAATCAAGCCTCGGAAACTTTAAGAAAATTGAAATCGTATCAAGCAACTTTTCTGACCACAACGCTATGAGATTGGAAATTGCTTACAGGAAAAAAACTGTAAAAAACACAAATACATGGAGGCTAAACAGTGTGCTACTAAATAACAAAGAGATCACTGAAGAAATCAAAGAAGAAATAAAAAAATACATGGAAACAAATGACAATGAAAACATGATGACCCAACACCTATGGGACGCAGCAAAAGCCTTTCTAAGAGAGAAGTTTATAGAAATTCAGTGTCACCTCAAGAAACAAGAAACATCTCAAACAATCTAACCCTACACTTAAAACAACTAGAGAAAGAAGAACAAAGAAAACCCAAAGTCAGTAGAAGGAAAGCAATCATAAAGATCAGAGCAGAAATAAATGAAATAGAAATGAAGAAAACAATAGCAAAAATCAATAAAACTAAAAGTTGGTTCTTTGAGAAGATAAACAAAATTGATAAACCTTTAGCCAGACTCATCAAGAAAACAAGGGAGAGGATGCAAATCAATAAAATTAGAAATGAAAAAGGAGAAATCACAACTGAAACTGCAGAAATACAAAGGATTATAAGACTACTGCAAACAACTATATGCCAATAAAATGGACAACCATCAAGAAATGGACAAATTCTCAGAAAGGCACAATTTTCCAGGACTGAACCAGGAAGAATTAGAAAATATAAACAGACCTATCACAAGTGATGAAATTGAAACCGTAATTAAAAATCTTCCAAGAAACAAAAGTCCAGGACCAGATGGCTTCACAGGCGAATTCTATCAAACGTTTAGAGAAGAGCTAACACCGATCCTTCTCAAACTCTTCCAAAATATAGCAGAGGGAGGAACACTCCCAAATTCATTCTACAAAGCCACCATCAGCCTGATACCAAAACCAGAAGAAGATATCACAAAAAAAGAAAATTATAGACCAG